CCCCCCCGACCTCTCAGAGCTACTACAACCATATACACCTGCCCGTTCCCTTAGGTCCGCCAATCAGCAGCTCCTTAAGGTACCGAAAACTAAGTATAAATTTAAAGGTGACCATGCTTTTGCTGCAGCTGCTCCAAAGTTGTGGAATGATCTGCTCTTGCACGTTACACAGGCCTCTTCTCTTTCTGAGTTTAAAAGTCTTCTTGAAACATATTTATTTGCTGAAGCCTTTGGCACTGTTTAAGGGGGTTGACTCAATTTTTGATGTTTTATTTTATTTGAGTTATTTAGTTATTTATTTGATCTTATTTCATCTTATTTTTATTTTATTTTTACTTTGCTTATGCTATTTGCATGTACAGCACTTTGTGAACTCTGGTTTTATGTTAAAGTGCTTTATAAATAAAGATGGTTTGGTAAAACAAATAAAACAGATTATATAATATCTCCAAGAGGGAGTATCTCCTGAGGAAAATAAAATAGGAGCTGTATCCAAATCCACTTTTTGCCAAAGAAGGGACTCAGCTGTCTATAGATGCCAAGTATTTTAAGCATATTGTGACACTGCAAATTATTTTCTCCACAGTTGGAGGTCTGAGTTCTTGCTCCATGAAAAGCGCCTGTGAAAAACGGTATCATGTCCAGAACCAGAATGAAGACGCTCGCTGCTCTTTGTCCCATCAGATTCAGAATAAACCATCACATACTGGCTCAGCACCTGCTATGTACTGGGTGAGCCCCTGGAGAACTGCAGCAGTAGACGAGGACAGCAACGACTGGTCAGAAGGAAACTCAGACAAAGAATCTGAGTTGGAGACATTCTGCTTAACTGGGGAGTGGGACTCTGAGCCAAAACCACTGCAGGATGATTACATCACTAATGACAAAGACTGGAAGACTGGGTCTGATTCAGAGGTAGATATATACATGGCGGAGGACGAATATATTCAGGAGAAGTGGCTGAAAACTGAGAAGGACTATGAGGGGGATTGGGAAGAGGAAGGAGATGAAGAGGAGGAGGAAGAGTGGGATTCTACCGAGTCCACGGAGTATCTTCGTGCTCTCCGAGGCCTTTTCCCTTTACTGCAAAAAAGTCACCAGATAGAAGAGAATTCATGGGGATCAGAAGCAGAGCTGGAATACCTCAGAGATGGTGAGTCATAAAACAACTCAGCGGAGCATGACTAAAGCCCCGAATCATATTATTATTATACATGTGGCTCAGATGAGCTTACAGAGCTCTTTGTTCTTTTAAATGGGACATATTATCCTCTTTCTGTTATTCTGTCATTTATTTGCAGTTACAATGATGGACGCTCGTATTAAACACAGCGAGCTAATTTAAAAAAAGAGGTCTGTTTATGTAAACCTAATCCAAAACTTCCAGCTTCAGACTGCAATAAATACTTGTTTTCATGCATTTTTTAAACTCTTGGTTCTGCATGATGTCACAGAGACAAGATATCCCTAATATGGTCATTTCAGGCACACATACCATACCAGCTTTATTTATAAAGCACTTTAACATAAAACCAGAGTTCACAAAGTGCTGTACATGCTAATAGCATAAGTAAAGAAAATTTAAATGAGATAAGATAAAATAAAATAAATAACTAAAAAACTAAAATTAATTGAAACATGTAAAAACAAATTGAGTCAACCCCTCTAATCAATGCCAAAGGCTTCAGTCGGAGGTCCAACAGTTTTTGGCGATTGTACATTAAAAGAGAGTTGACTCTAGCAATAAAAAACAACATAAGCAAACACAACAGAGGAAGAGCCAGACGGCGAGCCACACACACTGGCGCCATCTTGAAATCCTGACATCCACATGATCTTCAAATGTTTTGTTTATGGGCACAGCTAATCAAACAAAGTCGGTTTAAAGGGACTAACTTGGCTTGTTTCAGACAAGGTTGTCAAAGCCTCATCAATGTCCGCTAATAACAGAAACCTTTAACATGTTGTCCTTTACTAGATGTGACTAAAGGTACCAGAATCAAGACCCCGTCCCCTGAACCTCGAGATGAACCACCATCCTGCTTCAGCTGCTCTGACACGTCGCAGATAGATGCCTCAGAGAAGGTGAGTACCCGTGCACGAGGGATGTAGCCAACCTTGACGTCCCTTACTGGTTTGCAAAGTCTTCGCCATCTTAGCGTTTAGAAACCAGACATGACGAGAGTCTGACGGTCAAACTGAGAGACGTGTGGCTCATACTGCACCAGCTTTTTAATCGCAAGCTAAAGTGCAGCCTGCTTTGCTTGAGGCGCTTCTTCACTGGCTTGAATTTTGAGACTGTTATGCTACGTCCATCTTTTACATAACAAACACGAGCATGCATGCTTCATGTTTAAATTTATGTACAAAATAAAATCCTCCACAAAAGAAAATCTTCTTTCTTATTTTTAGGACTCTGATCACTCGTCGGATGACCTCAGCTCTGGCATCTTTTCCTCCTGCAACAGTCAGACTGACGCGTGCTTGGAGTGGTTAGCTTTAGCCAATCGGCCGTCCTCACAGTGCTTTGAGGGTAAGACGGCAGGGATGCACCTCTGTGCTGATCGACGGCTGTTGGCAGAATTTTTCTAATGCTCTGACATTTGCAGGTATTGATGTCTGGATAGAGGACCCCGAGGGCAAGTGTTTGAGGATACGCGAACGTAGGCGGATCAAAGTGGGCCATGTTGCCATAGGCATTAGTGATCAGGTACGAGAGAGTTTTAAGATGTCCAGAAACCTTTTAGCCATCAGACCGAGGTTTCTGTTTTGTTTCCTCAAAGTGTATTTTGGTTTGCTTTTTTTCTCTTTTCTTATTTCCGGAACAGAAAGGGAAATGTCCCGAAGTACAGTTAGAGAACAAAATTGGGGAAGTTTAGATTTAAATCTGTAACTATCTAATAAAAGAACAAATATACTAAATTATCATTTATCAGCATTAACCCTTTGCAAATACATCTGACACCCAATCAGCCAGAATCCATATGAATAATTACACCTGTCGCTCAGATCTCAGGGAAAGCCTTCACTTTGGAGACTCTGGACAGGAAGACGGTGTCCTTTGAACGAGAGATCAGAGAGTCGGGTCTGTGGCTTCGCTGTGTTCCTGCTCCTGACAGATGCCAGCACTGGAGGTGGAGAGTCCGAGACGGCAAGCTCGAACTGCGAGAATGAGACGGATATTTTCTCTTCTCTGTTGTTGTTTTGGTCTTTTGCACTAATTTAATTTGTTTTTTCCATTGGGAAAAGCTTTTAAGCACTTTAAAACTTTTCTCAGTGCATTTACACATAGCTCAATATATATAATCCATTTTGACAGAAAAATGGGCAAAAAAGCTTAAACACAGGAAAAACAAAAATACCAACCAAGCACTTTATTAGGAACACCACACTGGGTTCAGGTAGGCCCTCTCTTTGCTACCCAACAGCCTCAGTTTACTTCCTGTGTTGACAGAGTTGTTCTTCTGGATTCAGACTTGCTGGTTAGGACGACGACGTAGGTCGTCTGAATTCAGTCTCATATTTATAAAACCACATTTAAGATGAAGGAACCATTAGAAGAAGACTCCTTCCAGTGTGACTGGTGGTTGTTGGTAATATGCTGGCAGAAAGAGACCAAGAAAACATTCCCCATGTTATCCCACTGACACCAGCAGCCTGGGCAGGTTGGCTCATGCTGATTTTGACCTACCATTTACATGGCGATAGATTCTCGCTGCATTTCTGCTATCTGAGCTGTATGTGATAATCTCACCATCCTGTGTTTAGATTAGATTACATGTTTTTAAATCCAGTGAATCACATTATTAACAGGAGCCGTCTGAGACTCCATATTCCTGCAGATCCACCAAGGCTGAAAATTCCCTCCATGCCACACATGAACTGAGTATGAACAGGATCCGTTTTTTGTTTTGTTTTGAGGAATCCCAACACAATTTCTCTTTTTTTTTCTTTTAGTGTGATATTTTTATGTATTTTTGTAGCTGTAACACAAAATATCCAATCCTTCAAACAATGGTCCAGATCCAGACCTGAAATGACGACCACTTTGAGTCCCACAGCTGGTAAAGATGCACAAACAAACCGAATCAATTGCAAAAATAAACTGTAATTTGTACCTAATAACTAGATACATGTCTGTTACCTTACCGAACCCCGGTACTTAGCTTATACTGCTGTGTTAAACCAATGTCATAACCTACACCCAGCCTGAGCCGCTCCCTGCCAGAAATCCAACAACACATTGTAGGAATCCAGACCTCAGCCCCTGTGTTAGGTCTGTAGCGTGCACACAATATATTGATGAGCACAGGAGTAAAATTTCTGCAAAATAAAATGTAAAAGGGATTTATTGTACCTAGCTTGCTCAACATGCAAATGCAACAGCTAACATGTGGAGATATGTTGTTTTCCTCGTTTTAATAACTGTTCGTTTTGTCATGCTCACCTCTTTCCTTTATTTCAGCAAAGTGTTGTTCACATCTAAACGTTGAGCTCTGACAGGATCACCTCTGTTTCCACTGGTGTTAGCAGAGCAAACATTATGGTCCCATTATGGTCAACCATTCAGCACAGCACTGTAAATGAAGCTTCAGTTTCTGCAGCACTGGTGCCACGTGATTGGCTAACTAACTACTATCACAAGCAGGTGTTCCTAATAAAGTGCTACTTGAGTGTACAAATAAAAAAAAATCTTAAAATGCTGATTTTCAGGTTAAACTGTTTCTATGTGTTTTAAGTAAGGATACAAGTAGTTTACACTCCAAGGTTGTAAACGTGCTTGAATAAGAAATGGTGTTGGTAGGGCTGTAATAGGTTGTGACATCTGTATTTTTTTATTTTGTGTGTTAAGATTGTTTCCCTCTTTCCGTTCTCCTGCTTTTTTTTCCTTTTATGGATCATAGGAACAAAAAAAAAATCCGTTCTCTGTATCTCTGTTTACTTTCTGATGTGGAAGAAAGAGTTTGTCATGTCATCTGTTTCATTTAGAGTTTAAATGGCATGAAGCTCATTAAAATGATGTGTGTTTTCCACAATATACAACAAGGCTGGAATCTCTTGGTACTTGAATGTGACTTACATTTTATATTCTAATAAAAAATGACTCAGAGGCACAAAAGTTGCTGTCTTCTGCTCATTTCCAACTATTGCCTTTCCCAGTGGTTTCTGACTTGGTGTCATTTGAGAAAGACCAGGATTAGACCTGCTGCACACTGTAAACATTTACAGCACTGATAAAGAGGCCCAGCCCTATAAAAACAGATGCTGTTAAACACGTGAGGAGGAAGGTGTATGAAAACAGCCTGATCCTGTTCATTCATTAATTGTAATATAGGTATTGATCTTATACAAATTGTTTTTGTACAGTCTAAACTGTATTTGATGAATATTAAATATAAAAATGTTTCTGTCTGGCCATAAAATATACACTTTTGTATTATTTGTATTTGAAATAGTTCAGCTAGAGGTTCCCACTGAAGAGAGATTCATGTTATTAAATGCAAAGTAACTGTACATGCGACACTCTTTATGACTATAGCAACTAGCTGACTAACCTTGGCTTGCTTCTCATTTACATCAATGGCAAAAGTGCTATCTAAACCCAGACCAGTGCTTGTTTTTTGTCCTTGTGTGGTGTTAACTGTTTGTTGACATTACTAATTAACAGACTTTCTACCCTAAGGTTAGCTGATGATCTCACTGTTAATGCTGTGAACAGAAGAGTGGTATTCAGACAAGGTTCACATGAACAAGCACAGCCATCTTTAAACTTTTTGC